CATTGTCGATTCCTAAAAAACTCGCAACTAGTCGTAGCGGGTCACAATTTAACGGCGCATCGCTATCAAGTTTATTAGCGATTGATTGATACTTACTGCAATTTGTGAAAGCTCCGTAACGATTCTCATCGATATAACGGAGTGAAAAGCGAGTTTAACGTACAAGTCCTCGATATTGTATTCGCGCGAAAGCCCGCAGAGGTCGGAAGCAAACTTAATGAAGTGCAATGCGCGGAGCACACCGTGAAAGTTGATCGATAAAGATCTAAATGAAAGTCGCGGAGGGAATATAAAATGACTCTCCGGAGAGCAACTACTTTGCGTAGGACCGACCGGTTTACCGGGGAAAAGAGAGGAAGGACGTTTCGCACGTTACGTGTTCTACACTGATTGGGAACTTGCCATCTATAAGTCAGAGCTCGTCTCGAATGAAAATAAATAATTTAGTTTAGCTAGGCGTACCGCGCACACGTACCTACACTATATACGGAACAAAAATTAATTGGGTGGTACAGGAAACCTATAACTTACTGCGCGAATTCAACATCTATAACTAGAAAGATTTGATGGTTTAACAAATCACTAATGTTATTCAGCTGTCAACTTTGCTGTTTTAACATAGAAAATTAACTGTCTGTATATTACGACTGTAGATTTGCTAAAGTTTTCAGCTGTTTTTTTTCCGTGATGTATTCACATAAAATAGATTCACACAAAATAGAAAAAAAAATAGATTAGATTGTTCAACAAAGTTATAGCTTGCTGGGTAAGTTCGTCTATAATTGAAAAGACTTGAGATGGTTCAACAAAGAAATCGTGTCTGTAAACAATTATTAGTATGCTAATTCAGCGAATTCTTTGTTGCGATAAAAATTGCTAATATAATAAGTTTCCTTCATTGTAACAGCAAAAATATGTGCCATCTTAGCTAACATGTTTTGTTCAAAATTTTGATCTATAAATTGGATTGATTTTCATAGAAAGTTTTTTTTTGTTGCATTAATAAATTTGCTATGCTATTACAACAAATATGATTACTTATAATCCTTAATTTTATTCAGTTGTACTACTTTAATATAGAAAACTAGCTGTCTGTATATTACGACGATAGATTCACTAAATCAGTGAAATTTTTAGTTGTTTTAACAAATCTTTGTTTCCCATGTTCCCCTTCCTTTCATGTATTACACTATAAAAAATGAAACATTTGCAGCCATCGCGAAATTATTGCAAATGACGGTCGTTGATTTTATCGTTAATGAATCGTTGGTGATTCTCAACGCATTGTTACTTTCAAACCTATTAGGTCTCAATTAGAGCATCTCTGGCTTATCTTCCTATCTGGGATAAACAGTGAGAACGATTTTAATTTCCCTCGCGTTTGTCTTTGTGAAGAGGTATGGGAACGAAATAATTTAGATCCGAAGGAGTGCGGAATTCTTGGATGTTCTCGTAAAAGTGTAGAAAAAATAGACCTCGATCCAACACGTAAGTGTCGGGATGTCAGACACCACGACACGCATTATTTCGATAATTAGGAAACTTTTTTTCGGACGAAGATGTCGATGCCGTCTTCTCACGAACTGGTCCGAGAATTTGGACCTTGTTCGCAGGTTCGGTCTATAGATAACATATGTCTGGACGAACCGGCCAAAACTTCCATCATGTTCTGCTCCAATCTATTTTCGACATATCACGGAGCCACCTCTTATTTACCCGAATTATCCGGCGACGGGATGTTCTTTATCGAAACATTTCGTTCAAGAAGCTTTCTATGGCAATTACTTACAAACGATTAATAAAGATAGAAATCAGAAAATGTTTCTAGCATGGTGCGTTTTCCATGAGATACTAAATTTTAAATCGACCGTTTTTAAAGAGAAGAAGAATATGATGGTACAATTATTTCAAGGTTACTCACTGCAGTTCATCTTGGATTGTAATATCAGAAACGAGAAAAATACATAAAGAAAATTCTTACAAACTATATTAAAATGTATTTTTTATTAAAACATTTGCAATTGATAGAATAGATTATAATAAAATATATTGAAAACTTCTCTTATATTCCGGTAATCAATAAATAACTCATATATTTGAAACTGAATTGTGTCTAACCAGAAAACCACGAAACAAATATATAACAGCTAAATATATATATATAGCAGCTGAAGATAAGTATGATTTTATTAAAAATAAAAGAAGTATTTTATATTTCTTAAGTGTGCACTATCAAATGCAAAAATTATTTTATTGAAAAATGTTTCTTTCAAAATATATTTTGCAAGAACTTTCATTATGTGATCTATGAGTGATCAGCAGTCTTAGAGTCATAGCACACAGAAGAACTTGATCAGTAAGACGTAAGCAGTAAGGAAATCAACATGTTGGATTCGCTACTGCTTACATTATAGCCTTACGGTCTCTACTATGATTGGCCAATTTGCTTACAGTTTACATTTTACTGCTTAGTCTTTTGTGTACCATAGCCCTTAACGCGACCTTAGCAGAATGGGTATCTATATCTTCGCTGCGTTTGCGTTTTAATTCTCGTCGTACATTCATATAAGTCCTGAAATGCTAGCGACGCCACGTTCAATCAGTGACAAAGGAGGCCTGAAGGCCTTGGCTACGGGATTCTGAATACGTGATATCAACTACTTTACTCCGCATACACAGGAGTTATGGCCTTGATCCATACCGTGGGCAAGTTGCGCTGCACCTTCGCGTCGTCGTCGCCGTCGCCGTCATCGTTGTCGTCATCGTCGTGCACACGGTAAGTCGTGTGCGTCGCGTGGTACTCACAGGCACGAACACAATGCGCGGTAATTGAGTTACAGAGGCATAGCGCCCTCATGGACAACTCTTCAGCCCGAGAGCGGTTCCACACGTGGACGACTCGACAGAATTGCGGGCCCGATCCAGCTGCATCCAAATGCATCCTTCAGATACTAATAGACTAATTTTCCCTTGGATTTTCTTTTGGAAGATCATTTAAAGCTGCGTCAGTAGCATCCTAGAGATCTCTGAAATTATTGCGATAAACGTATCTACCTGACATCTCAATAAACACCTAGTTACATGTAACGTATTTGTTAGTTAATTGTAATCCCATTCAAAACAATTATACAACTGTAATATAGCATGCGTATTGTTATAATTTTTATATACATATAACGAATTTAAATAGATTTTCTGCGAAAGATCTTGCGTGGACTTGAATGCTTTTTATTATTTACTAGTTTTAGTTTGTAAAGCCTTGTCTCTCTATTTTTATTATACTATAATTATATTGTTGAGTGAGTGATATGATATAACACGTGTTATATTATAGCTATATTGTTGAATGAGTTTAATATATTATAGTTATATTGTTGAAAGAACATTATAACAGGAACTTTACATCATATTGTTTAATAGAATCCTTATGATGACTGGATTATTAAACAAACCAAATAAATACATGGAATATGCTTTCCCTTTTATGTATTCCAATGAGGGCCCAAGCAGAAAAAGCAATTTTGCAACTATTGTAAAATTCTTTGATATGACTAGCCTTTAATATTTGCCTTTGTGAGAAACTTGCCTTTAGTTCCTCACTGGATATAGATATATACGATCATATTGAAGACTCTTACAACAATTGAAAAGCTGCTCGTTTTACTGATCAAACATATTCATCGACAGAAAATGTTAAAACGCTGCGTTTTGCGCGCATATATTCGCAACGGAATTAACAGATAGTAAAGCATCTGTCTTCACGTTGGATCCACGTGCAACTTTTTCAGACGTCTTCGTCGCGCGCTTTCGCTTCTCTTCATTTTTTTTTGAAGTCTCATACGCGCGCGTACATAAACGCATAATCGCACGTCGCGAGGCTATAACGTTTTTCACACCGCGACAGTGCCGATCGATTATTTCTGATCCAAGTAATAATAATATGTGAATGTAATTGCTCCGTCGTTTAGATTAGCTATTAATTGCTTCCCCCTCGGTGTATTTCATATGATGGGTGTCATTTATGGCTGCGCCGTTGCCGCGCGAGAGAAACAACTTGATATTGCCTCTGGCGCAATTGGTTGTCTTGCACCGCGGGCCTTCACGAGTTTACCGTGTATGTATGTGCTTATATGACTCAGAAGGATCTTACGAACTACGTACAAATCCGATTTTGCGATTGAGATTTTTCTATTTTAAGAAAGGGAGACAGCGATCATATTTGTCATTCAAACAATATTAAGCTGTCAAGTTCAACATTAGAACACATATTATATTTTTTACAGTTAATAAGTCAAAATACAAAAAACAAAAAAGCCAATATTTTATCAGGAAACCCTTTTTTTTTAAAATACTCAGAAAATATTAACTAAAAGTAACGAAAAGTGATATTAACTTAAAGTAATATAAATATTATAATTTTACACTCAAAAATGTAATATATGTGTTATATTTATATCGTTGAATGTGAAATTATAATATATGTTACTTTTATTTACTAGGTAATTATATATATTTTAATTATATATATTTTAATTCCATATATATATAAAATGTATTACTTTTAATTGATATATTATAAAAATAACACATAATATATACGGGCTTAATTTAATCATATAACAACACGGGGACAAACTAGTACAATCTTATTCCTCTTTGGAGTTATACATCATTATTTCTACTGCATAAAACATATTTCAGCATAAAACATAAATAAATATATTACTTCCTCATTATTACCTCGATATTGATCCTAGCAATTCCATCTATAGTTACAGAGCGAAAAGCAGAAATCATAAAAACGTTGACATGGCGTCATCTATCGGGGATCTCTCGTATTAATCGAAGCATGTTAAATTTGGAGCAGAATTGCGAAACAGAAGGCAATTGACGTTTCAGTAATGCTACTTTCCAACTATAAAAAGAAATTAATTTTTATTTTTCAAGACATTCTTAGAATACATTAAACATTAAATAGAGAATATATTTCATAGCTCACTAGATTATAACTAATCCTATTGGATAAGCAACTAAAGCAAGTCTCTGCTCCCCAAAGAAGCTTAGGCTTGATCTACAGATCAATATAATATCTTGGCACTTTGATCTTCATTGCAGAGGTCAGAAAGCCATCCAAGAGAAGAAGATTAGAGCTAATCCCAAGGTTTCACAGGAATGTTGGGCTAATATTATCAATTTGCTGTATCCTCTATCGTGCTTTGTGAAGTGGTTTCCATCACCAATATCTTAGAGTCAGCATCGCCCTGCAGCAGGTCAGCCTCATCTTTTTTCACCTGGGTGCTTTCAGCAGCGCCAACAAAGGATTCCTCCTCTAAATTTTCCTCCTCATCCTCTGTCTCGCTACATTCACGTTTTAGCCGCATCTCTCGCTTGTGCCTTTCGCTCGTCTCGAAAAACTTCAACAAATCCTCGGTCACGTTGAACTCCAAATCCTCATTTGTATCGGATTGCGTGTCATTATCTTCCTCAGCATCGTCATTGTCGTTATCCACATAATAATTATAATTCTCCCGAGTGTCACGATAACCACGACTCTGAGCCAGGGATCTCACTTTGTCGCGCAGCAGTTTATTTTCGCGCTCCAGGGCGACGCAACGTGACCTCCACCAGGTTATGTTGTGTCTGAAAACCAACGAGATTCCTTTAATGATCTTGTTTTTGATTTTACCGTTGATTTAATAAAACTTGCGAACCTACCGTTTCTGCCATTCCTGGGTCACGGCGTAATTCTTCCAGAAAGCGTCGGCTTGCATCGTGCCCGTTGCTAGCGTCTCTCGTACATCCGTGACATACTCGGAAAAGGCCGTCCAATGACTTACGTTGAACCTAACCTCTCGCTCGCGCAGCCGTTTTTTCTTCAAGCGCTTCAAACGTCGCTTCCTCTTCCACTTCTTTCGTCGTTTCGCGATAGCACCAATGGCACATTCCGTCAATTCCATGCTCGAATTTTCTTTGTTACGAAAGGTCAGTTGAGTACAACTGACAGCTATACATCATTGTTTACGTTTCCGTGCACGAACGCCATGAATCGACGGAACCTGAACATAAATGGAATCTGATGTCTCCTTTGCTCTTGGGGGGAACTTCTATATAAATAAATAAATCCGATAAAATTAAAAAATGTATTTGTGAAAGAATTGATATCTTTGATTTCTATCACGAAAGGTTTCTCTGTGTATTTTGTGCTATATCTCTCTCTTTCTCTTTCTCTCAATTAATAATAAATTATAATGCTTATTAATAACATATCAAATTATTAATTTAATAATACATTAATTCCCAGCTTTTTAAATAATTAATAAATTGCATTTTAAGGCTGAATAATATAATCAAATGTTTCTCTATGCATTTTCTCCTATCAATTAATAATAAATTGCAATACTTAATAATATATTAAACTAATTATTAATTTTATACTATGTTACATTTTCAATTTCTATACATAATTAATTAATTGCATTTCAAGGCTGAATACTAATAAACAAAATTCAACAAAAATATAGAAGAGTCACAAAGTAATCATAAAAAATCCTGCAGAATGATGTTAGATATATATATTAGTTAATATTTACTTATTAAAGCGTATCTTTTATTAATCTTCCGGTCTATTAAATTATTTTAGACAAAGTGAATAATGTTCTGTTTCTACCAATGCGGTCTAATTTTAATTTTAGTTCGATATAACTCTTCATCTTTTTCTAGTTTCATAGACTTCTTATAGAAATCTGTGTTTAGTTCTAAGAATTAGAAAAAGATTAAGAGTAAGTTGAACCAAAATTCAAGTTCAGCTACATTGGTAAAAATGAGCATAATAGAAGGGAGAAAACTGCATATCGAGGATATATGAAAGATTAAATAGGTGATTTTTATTAGAAATGTACAGTAAGCTTTATACAAATCTAGAAAAGAGACTGTAACTTAAGTAAAAGTTACACGTATATAACACTTATCGAGGTCTGAAGATGTTATCTTTAATCTGTTTCCGCGCGTTCGCGCATAACAATCATTGTGAGTTCTTCTACGCAATAAAATATGTGCATGTTTTTACACAATCATCAATTATAATCTCATTCTTTCGTCTCTGTACACGCAGTAAGTGTTATAAATATCTCAAAATTCAACACTACCATTAGTTACTTCTTAAAACGTATTCATTACATTCGTATTCTATGGTTTAGAATTTGAATCTCAATCACGATCAATCACAACGTTTAAAACAAAGAAAATAATTATATCTACCATCCAATTAAAAGAAATCTGATTAGACACATATGTTTAGGAACGTGCTTCTTATCGTTTATGCCTCGATTTAATTTCGTTGAAAGCTGCGTGAAAATTATTGTCAATAATATGTTTAAAATCAGCTACATTTTCAAACAAATCATAAGATAATGTGTAAATTTTCGTTCGCGAAAACTGAAACAATTATTTTATTCTCTGTTTGTGTAGACTTTCAATCAGCTTTCTGTTAGTGAATGATTGTAAAGGTCCAATCCTGACCTCACATATACGACAGGTTCAATCCGCGTTCAAACGACACTTCATCATCTCCTAATTTAACATTGGCGCTACCTGTGCTATTTCGTCTCGAATTATTACGAGGACCATTGGCTCGGGCATTATTACTAGATGCTTCGTCATCGCTTCCATTCGTCGACGACGACTTATGCAATGGTTCCAGTCCGATAATTACACGTATGTCATCAGGAATCTGATGTTCCACAGACATCAGCTGATAGTAAATACCTTCTGCCTTAGAAATTGTCCAAGGCAACTCGATATGAAGTGACAAATCGTTTATGTGCTGTAAACAATAATATAACATATCAGATACGGATAAATTTATGTTGCTGTTATACCAGGAAAACGTTTTACCTTCAAAATTTCCGTAAATCCATAATTGTTTTCTACTAAAATATTTTTCTCTGTGTCCAAAATAGCCGCGCATACTAACAAATGAAAGTTTTTACAGGGTAGATCGGTCCATAATATTTCCCATAACTTTAATATATCAATCGCGCTAAATTCTCGCTTGAATAATACTAGCAACCATCGAAAGCAAAAGAACATGTTACCAGAATCATGTCTATTCAGATAATATGCTAATTGCGGTTCCGTAGTGCATAATAACGTGTATAATTGGCACAATTGGCCTTTCATGCCTTTCTGATCCATCTCGAAATTAGTACTCTGTTTTTAAAAGAAAAAAAAGGTTACTTATAGATATTAATATAATTATTGTTATGCAGAGAACATCATACTTACTACTTTATTCATGAATCCAACGAAACACCAAAACGCATCTACTTCATTATCCATTAAAAATAAAATTGGACTAAGAAGATCGCTCATACCCTGAACATATCCTAAATCGAAATTGTACATTACATAGGTCATGAGTATATCGTATAATTGTTCCAAGTGTGGATTATTATCCCCTGCATAGTAAGGATGTGTTCTGTCTGTCCTGTTAACATCCTTCTCTAGTATGACATTAAAAAATTTGATTTTTATTCAACATAAAAGCACAGTTAGGAGAATAAGTAATGTATTCTTACAAAAATAACAAAAGAATAGTTACATATTTTTACAAAAATAACAATTTTGTTGTTTTAATTTACCTATCAAACTTTTTCGTTCTCTGTAATCAGAAAATCGGCTTTCTTGCGCAGTCGTAAATGTACGCCATTGCAATTTCATCGTAAAATATTCGTCAGTCTTTTTCCTCTTAAGTTCTAATCTTTCGTTATGCGTCGATTTCCATGGGTAATAATTTAATAAAAATTTCCATACTTCAAAACGTAATGATGGACAAATACCCTAATAAATTATCACAAATATATTCAAAAACTAAATTATACTTTATATAAAGAATACTAATATTGTTGCTGCAAAAATATTTAAATACATACCCCCCGAAAGATAATTTCTTTGACGGCCTCAGGATCAGTGATTCTTCCTTCTCGATCTTTACATTTTTCCCATTGTTCTTGTGTTAACGGCGCACCTGATAGAATTGTAATTTTTATTTAAGCATAAAATATACAATTAAATATATTGTGTGTGTGTGTGTGTGTGTGTGTGTGTGTGTGTGTAACCATCCTATGTAGTTATTTTCTATAGAATTTTTTAATTTATATATTAATGTATTACCGCGCGGACACGGTGGTCGTGGAGGTAGGTCCACTCCGACTCCAATTACTTCATACTCTTCTCCAGATCCTATAGATACAGATACACGTGGATGAGGATCGATCGTAAGAGACTGGTTTAATAAATCAGCTACTGCTTCCTCAACAGGTCGCTTCACTGGCTCTTTATACACTGTAACATTAATAAACAATATGGTATCATTGTGTTTATGTGCACAAACACACTGAATTATAAATGTATTGATTGGAGATCATTAATATATCCGCTTACACCAGATATCTGCAAGTTTGCTGAATGCCTCCATTGTTGTTTCATAAGGACGATTGTGTAAGTTCTTTACAAACTTCCACACATAATCGGAAGTGTTTTCTTGAAACAGATCCAACTCGGCAAAAGATTTCTTCAAAACAGTTTCAACTTCATCCATCACCAGATATAAATTCTTATCCGAGCGTGATTTTACAAATTTGGTGAATCCTTTTAACGAATTAATGAAACTTTCAGCGTTAGCCAGCTGAAAAAAGGCAACGTAGGTGGTACCATCCCTTTGCATAAATATGAGTTGCTGTCCGCCGTGATTCACACGAAATGACTTTAGATCAGAAAACAATATTTTAACGGTCCTCGTACGTCCAAGAGAGTCTGGACCTTCCGAGCTCGTGCGAGTCCTCCTCGTGTGAGTATCCACTAGGGACCATTCTGGATCTTGATCTTGGCATTCCGATACCACGGAATCTTCTACAGGTTTCCATTCTATGCACTTGCCAAAACTCTGCAAAGCAAAAATAAAACAAGTTTCCGTACATGCATAATATTAATCCAATAACAGAATCTTACATATTCCACGATATTAAGCGTTCCTGAACTGTGAACCTCGTCTTCTCTGGCATTTGCTCCACGAAGCACAACACCCGTATGGATGCAGAGATCCTATCAACAGAATTCATTACAGGTCAACAATTCGCAGGAGATAACATACTTTCCAAAGAGACATGGATAACACAGTAAATCATTCGTTGCTTTCTATTTACAAAACTCTGATAATTTTCATTTGCGCCGTCATAACTCAGTTGAATGCATATTTCTTTTTATTCTGAGAAGATTCAATTGAGTTTTTACCTATAATCTGCACAACTTGACGACCATGTGCTTTACCCATTTTTGTTCATGTTAAAAGTAAGGTTTAATAAACCTGTGTTATCATGTGATAACTTTGTTACCAAAGCAAACAGTGACGTCATTACCTGAGTATAAAATACATAATTTTAAGATGACCCTGTATAATCAATAATACTGCCAGTACAAATACTGATGATATAACTGATTGCATACCGTTAATATTGATGAATTGACATAGAATACTAACAATGATCTGGATTTTGATTCTCAAAGCATTAATATCGCTTTACTAAGATGTCACAGAGTAATAGAATATAGTTAATGTAAGTAAAACTAAAATGAAATATACTATTAATAATATTGATCATGTAAAGTTGTAAAAATACTAAAAATATGCCTACTATCAGTATTACAGATCAGTATTATTGACTGTATGGTCACCTTTACTCAGTATCACTTGTGTAAAATGAAAAGCAACTATTACATCCTTATTGTTTGCCAATGTTAAACAAAGATAGAATGATCACTGTGTTACACTATATCTATCGCTGGAAAGCACCAAGTAGCTACTCTAAATATAAAATCGCAGGAATGTAAGTGCCAATGCGTCGCAATTAAAAACACTAATCGACAACAAACGATGTACTATTTATAAACAGCTAAAGAATGTCAAACGTAATTGTATTCATAATTTCGACATGGGACCACCCGCGCGATTTCTCCTGCGAGACCGAGGATTACGGGACGTGCTGCGTGTTGATCATCCGCGAGACACCTAACCTCCAAGTCCA